AGGGCCTCTGGCCGGATGCCAACGCGCCAGGCAGACGGAACAGTAGCGGACCTCGCATTGTTCACAAAATGCCACGGCCAGACACGGACCCGAACCGGCCAGTCGTCGGGCCGGAGGCGAGCCACGAGTCGTCCGGTTGCCATGGCCCGTCGCTTGTCCTGACAGCGCGTGGCCAGACGCCTCGACTTCGGTGTCTGTCTCGGCCTCGGTCGGTTCGGCGTCGGCGTCGCCGTCGCCGTCGCCGTCGGTTTCGCAGAGCTGGCAGAATCGGCCCAACGGCGACTCGACGTCCTCGTGTCCGGCGGCGTCCACGTCGATGAGGACTCGAGAGGCGAGACGTTCGAGAGCTCGGTTGCGTGGCAACCATTCCGACAGGCTGGCGCACTTTGACGCCGCCGGCAGCGGTACCGGACACTGACACACCGGACAGACGAGGCTGCAGATGACACCACTACTGGCCTGGCAACCGGGCAGCAGGCAGTCGCTGCCCGACGACCTCACGACCGGTGACACAGCCAACGTCTCACCATGACAACAGCTCATCACGACCACGCCCGAGTCGGCCTCGCTGACGGCATCTTCGCTGCCGCTGTGTGTGCTGTGCGGTGCGCTGGTCACTTGGTTCGTCTTCCCGACGCCCGGACTCGGCAGACTATTCGACGTGGGGCAATTGGGTTTGGCGGTCGAGTTGGCGACGCAGTTGGCGACGGAGTGCCCGGCTCTGGCGGTCTGAAAGGCGGCGCTTCTCGCCTCCTCGGCTGCGGACGACCTCGGCGAGCCGGTGCCTGCGCAGTCGGCGTGTAGAGAGGCGAGGAAGAGGCGATCTGCACAAGCGCAGCAAAGGGAGTGGCCACACGGCAACAGGAGCGGTATCTGGAAGCGCTGATGGCAGGCGGGACATTTCAACTCGGCTTCAAGCTTGTGCAACAGCATCGAGACGAATGAGGCGCTGCCTTCGGCGCGGCTCTGACAGGCTGGTGGAAAAACGCACCAGCAGAGCGT